GACTAGAATAAAACTGCTGAAACTGTAGATACTTGACCTGCCGTCTCGTATTGAACGCAGTTTTTAATTAGTGACTAACTTTTCATAGTCTTTTGGGGTTCCTGTGTTCATCGCCGGTTGATACTCGACATTTTCAATATAATAAGTGAAAACCCCAACCTTTCGCTTACAAGAAAATAAACTAAAAGGCAATGTCTCTTGCAGGATTATAAGGTGGTGATGGAATACTCGCAAGAGCAACTAAACTACTTCAGACTCTGCTACATAGCATTTGATTTGGTTCCAGTGGGACTGCGGCAGATTTTCAAAAACGAGTGGGATTTCCTTTATAAAGGAACGTTAATTAGAGAATGGAAAGACACGGCACAAAATGGTTGTGATTTCTACAACAAAGAATCTAAAGCAAGTCACAAGAAAAACTCTCGGTGTCTAGCAACAGTACAGAACGGTAACACGGCAGAGTGGGACTGCACCTGCTTGTTTTTTGCCATTCTGTACTCAGACAGCATTGGTACCACTTTAAGCCCAGCTGTCCGTAAAGAGGTCGATGACATTCGTCAGGTGCGAAACGAGATCGCTCATATCACCGAGGCTAAGTTGACAGATACCGACTTCCAAACTTCTGTAAATAGAGTGTTGAGCGCTTTTGCAGCCCTTGGTCTTGCTGTAACTGAGATTCAAGAAATAAAGAACCAGACGACCTTTCCGACGAAGGAAGTGGAAAAAATTAGGAAGCAAGTTCGTGATGTCCAAGCCGAGTTAGATCAGACAAAAAGCACTCTTCAAAGTACAGAAGCTGTCCTGGTTTCTACAAAAGAAGAAAACAAATGTCTCACACAGGAAATAAGTGCGAAACTTCAACCATTTTGCATTCTCGTATCGCGCCCACCACACGATATCATAAGCCGCTCGCATGACATTGAAAGAATCACTAACAAAATGGAGGAACTTAACAATGGCTCTAGAGGAGCAATCAGTACAGTGTACTTGTCAGGAAATCCAGGATGTGGCAAGAGCCAACTTGCTCGGGAAATTGGACAACAGTTCTTTTCTGAACAAAACGATGATCTTATCTTTGCTGCGACACTGAACACAGAAAGCATTGAGACACTTGTGGACTCTTACCTCACCCTTGGAAGACACCTAAGGATAACAGAATACGCGTTGACAAGCATAGAATCCTTAAAAGAAGAGAAACCTATTGAAGCAATTAAACAGCTCCATCGCTTGATTTCGCCGAAGACCAGCAAGTTTACCAAATGGTTAATAATAGCGGACAATGTGATTGACTTACGCTTAGTCCGCGACTTGCTTCCTCAAACTGGCAGTAAAGATTGGGGCCACGGGCAAGTGCTGATTACCACTCAAGATAGTGATACAATTCCTCAAAACGCTCCTCACACGTATCACGAATCGTTAAGCAAAGGAATGAGGCGGGACGAGGCAGTGGAATTGCTGGAAACAGTATCGCAAATTTCCGAGCGAATACAAGCAGAAAATGTCGCTGAACTTCTCGATTTTCAGCCACTGGCTTTAGCTGCTGCTGCTTATTTCGTGCAAACTGTTGTGACCAGTGGGTCTTCAAATTATAATTGGAAAGCATACCTTCAAGACATATCAACATACAGCCAGCGAAAATCGGCCGAAACTGTCCTTGCTAATGAGAGTTCAGCCTACGCTAAAACAACAATGGCCGCAGTAGAAATGGCTATCCAAAGAGCTGTTGAAACAGACGAGGTTCTTCTTCATACATACTCTTTTGTTTCGCTCTGCGCTAACGACGACCTACCACTCGAAACTGTTTTAAAGTTCGTCAAAGCTCAAGTAAAGGACCATCTAGAGGTTTTAATGAAGGCAAAGATTGTAAGGTCCTCTTTAAGTCTTGTTCATTCCGAAGAAGGGGGTGAACGAACGTACTTACGTTTACATAAAGTTGTGCATGACGCTTTGAAACTAGGTGAGATAGCTAACATGAAATCATGCCGGGAGAGGGACCAGACCATGGCAAAAGCGGTAAAGATTTTCAACACCCAACTCGAAGAAAATCACGAGAATTATGCGTTTTGTAAGAAATTGAGGCCCCACTGTGAATCTTTACTTAAGCAGATGACGTCAGAGTTTAGTTCAGATGAAAGCACTTTTTCAGAAAGGTTTGCGCCCTTCATAGATTTGGAAACAGTTATTGATTGGCTAAATAGTCTCGCCAGGGTCTGTCAAGAAAGCTCCTATTTCTTCTTTGCGAAAATTGTGGTCAACTTAGCATACGATCTACTGGGGAACTTAGAAGACACTTCAACGATTGCCTTTGCTCGTAAAGGGAGGGTTTTGAATGTAAGTGGCAAAGTGCACAGCAGCCTGGGAGAATACAATCAAGCCAAAGAACTTCACGAAAAAGCACTGTTAATTCGCAAAAAGATTTTTGGTGAAGATCATGCCGATGTAGCAACAAGTTATAACGGCTTGGCATCAGTGTACAACCGGCTAGGACAATACAATCAAGCCAAGGAACTTTACGAAAAAGCACTGACGATTCGCAAAAAGATTTTTGGTGAAGATCATGCCGCTGTAGCAACAAGTTATAACGACTTGGCATCAGTGTACAACACCCTGGGAGAATACAATCAAGCCAAAGAACTTTACGAAAAAGCAGTGATTATTTACAAAAAGATTTTTGATGAAGATCATGCCGCTGTAGCAACAAGTTATAACAACTTGGCAGTAGTGTACAAACACCTGGGAGAATACAATCAAGCCAAAGAACTTCACGAAAAAGTACTGATTATTTACAAAAAGATTTTTGGTGAAGATCATGCCGCTGTAGCAACAAGTTATAACAACTTGGCATTAGTGTACTACACCCTGGGAGAATACAATCAAGCCAAAGAACTTTACGAAAAAGCAGTGATTATTGACAAAAAGCTTTTTGGTGAAGATCATGCCGATGTAGCAACAAGTTATAACAACTTGGCATTAGTGTTTGACACCCTGGGAGAATACAATCAAGCCAAAGAACTTCACGAAAAAGCACTGTTAATTCGCAAAAAGAGTTTTGGTGAAGATCATGCCGATGTAGCAACAAGTTATAACGGCTTGGCATCAGTGTACAACCGCCTAGGACAATACAATCAAGCCAAGGAACTTTACGAAAAAGCACTGACGATTTGCAAAAAGATTTTTGGTGAAGATCATGCCGATGTAGCAACAAGGTATAACAACTTGGCATTAGTATACGACACCCTGGGAGAATACAATCAAGCAAAAAAACTTCACGAAAAAGCACTGTTAATTCGCAAAAAGATTTTTGGTGAAGATCATGCCGCTGTAGCAACAAGTTATAACAACTTGGCATTCGTGTCCAACACCCTGGGAGAATACAATCAAGCCAAAGAACTTCACGAAAAAGCACTCTTAATTTGCAAAAAGATTTTTGGTGAAGATCATGCCGATGTAGCAAAAAGTTATAACGACTTGGCATCAGTGTACAACCGCCTAGGACAATACAATCAAGCCAAGGAACTTTACGAAAAAGCACTGACGATTTGCAAAAAGATTTTTGGTGAAGATCATGCCGATGTAGCAACAAGTTATAACAACTTGGCATTAGTGTACAACACCCTGGGAGAATACAATCAAGCCAAAGAACTTCACGAAAAAGCACTGTTAGTTCGCAAAAACATTTTTGGTGAAGATCATGCCATGTAGCAACAAGTTGTAACGGCTTGGCATCAGTGTACAACCGCCTAGGACAATACCATCAAGCCAAGGAACTTTACGAAAAAGCACTGTTAGTTCGCAAAAACATTTTTGATGAAGATCATGCCGATGTAGCAACAAGTTATAACGGCTTGGCATCAGTGTACAACCGCCTAGGACAATACAATCAAGCCAAGGAAAGTAGTTAGTAAATGCTGCCATCCCCCTCACTCACTTTTATTTCTACCTCATTTCGCAACATCGCTCTCTTGTTCACTCATTTCGCATATCTCATTCCTTGAACTCACTTCATTCACTTCATTCACTTCATTCTATTCGTTCGCTTCGCTCTCTCATTTCATTCAGTTCATTCAGTTCATTCAGTTCGTTCAACTCATTCGTATTGCTCCATTCGTTCTCAAGTAGTCGCTCACATTGTTCAAAGATCTAGAAATAAAAGTGAGTGAGGGGGTTGTCAGCATTTACTAACTACTAATAAATAAAGTAGTGATAGTGATATTGATTTAGAAAATAAAATTTGAATTAAAGAAATAAAAAAATAAAATAATAATATAGTAAGTTATGTCTCAACAAATTTTTACCGATAAACAACTTCAGAGTTTGTCTTTGGACGAATTAAAAAAGATAGTATCACAAGAAAAAAAAAATCTTAAGAAAGATTATAAGGAATTACAAAAAAAGAGAAGATTGATTGAAAAATATAGAAAATTGACAGAGTTTAGAGAAAAAGTTAAACAAGGAAAAGTTAAACCCAAAGTTGACAAAAAACCCAAAGTTGACAAAAAACCCAAAGTTGACAAAAAACCCAAAGTTGTTAAAAAAACTCATTCTAAAAGGATAAATCATTTGAGGATTATTTTGAGGAATGTATAAAAAATAAAAAAATTCCTAAAGATACTCCTACCTATTTACGAAAAGCTCTTGAGAGAGCTATAAATGAGTATGAACAAGGAATTGAAATTGAAAAATCAGCTCTAAACGAATTTGCTAAAAAATATATTATTAAGGGAAAACCAGATATTTTACCTATTGAGTTTTTTATTTTAAAAGAACGTGTTATTAAAGATTTTTTGAGAAATCATCGAAATATTAAAGTAAGATTTGTTTTAATAGCTATTATGGAAAAAAAGGAAAAAATGGAAAAAGATAGTATTTTAACTTTTAAAATTAAAGATAAAGCATATTTTAATTCTAGTACATATAATAATTTTAAATCAACCGATGTAAAAGATATAATTTCAAAAAGTATAATAGAAATTATTGATAAATTAACTATTTATCAACAAATGGGTAGTGGGTGGTATTTTAAAGAAATTAATCAACTAGAAATTCATACAACTCAATTAAAACCAATGACAGGTTCTTCTTATATTCCTCTTCCAGATTGGATTATGAGAAAAAAAGCAATTGTTAGTATTCGAAATAAAGATGATAAATGTTTTATTTGGTCAGTACTTCGTTATCTTCATCCAAGAGAAAAGAATGATAGTCGATTGACAGATTTAAAAAAGTATGAGACTGATCTTAATACTAAAGGAATTACATTTCCAATGAAAGTAAAAGACATTTCCAAATTTGAGAATCTTAATCCAGATCTTCCAGGAATAAATGTTTTTTCAAATGATGGACAGACTATTTATCCTTTGAGAGAGGTAAAGAAAGATTGTAAAAATACCATTGATTTATTTTTGTATGAAGAAGATGGAAAATTTCATTATTCACTAATTAAAAACTTTTCCCGTCTTATACGTAGTCAAATTACTTCAAGAACAGATGAACCAATACAAATTTGTAAGAGATGTTTTTGTCATTTTACAAAACCAGAATTATTAGATAATCACATCAAATATTGTTCTAGTAATAAAACAGCATTTGTAAAAATGCCAAAACCAAAAACAACTTTACATTTTAAAAATTATGATAGACAACTTCCTATTCCTTTTGTTGTATATGCAGATTTTGAATGTTTTACTAAACCAATGAATAGCTGTTCCCCCAATCCTAAAGATTCTTACAACTATAACTATCAAAAACACGAACCATCAGGATTTTGTTTTTATGCAAAGGGTATTGTTAATAAAAGAATTAAACCAATCATTTATACAAAAAAATCAGATGATGAAGATGTAGCAAAAGTATTTGTAGAAAAACTTACAGAAATGACTAAAGGGATATATGAAGATTTTTATCGTAAACCAAAACCTTTAGTAATGAATCAAAGAACACAACAAGATTTTAATAATGCTGTTAATTGTCATATTTGTGGTGGTGAATTAGATAAAGATAGAGTTAGAGATCATTGTCATTTTACAGGTAAGTACCGTGGAGCAGCACATAACAAATGTAATCTTATGTGTAAAAAACCAAGAATACTACCAGTTATATTTCACAATCTTCAGGGTTATGATGCACATCTATTTATTAAACAACTTGCTAAAATAGATGGTGATCTTAGTTGTATTCCATCTACTGAAGAAAAATATCTTTCATTTTCTAAAACTATTAAAGTTGGAGAGTATAAAGATAATTATGGTGATATTAAAGCAATTAATTTTGAAATCAGATTTGTGGACTCATTCAAGTTTCTTCAAACATCACTAGCCAATCTTGTTTCAAATTTAAACCAAGATGACTTTCATATTACAAAACATGTGTTTAGGCATAATACTTCATTACTAACTCGTAAAGGAGTTTATCCTTATGATTATGTATCATCAATTGATAAATTATCTGAAAAACAATTACCACAAAAAGAAGGATTTTATTCAAAACTATATGATGAAGATATAAGTGATGAAGATTATCAACATGCGATTAAAGTCTGGAATACATTTGGGTGTAAAACAATAAGAGACTATCACGATCTTTACCTAAAATCTGATGTAATGCTTTTGGCAGATGTGTTTGAAAACTTTAGGAAAACTTGTCTTAAACATTACAAATTAGATCCAGCTCATTACTTTACATCTCCAGGATTAGCTTGGGATGCATGTCTAAAAACAACAGGACAACATCTAGAATTATTACATGACTATGATATGTTAATGATGTTTGAGCGTGGTATTCGTGGTGGAATAACACATATATCAAAAAGGTATGCAGAAGCAAATAATAAATATATGAAAAATTATAATCCTGAAAAGGAATCAACATTTATACAATATTTGGACGCAAACAATCTTTATGGTTGGGCTATGTCTCAGAATTTACCAACACATGGTTTTAAAATGATGACAAATATTACAAAAGAAAAGGTAATGGAAATTTTAGAAAAAACAAAGGATAGTATGGCAAATACTGGTAAGAATGGATATATTTTTGAAGTTGATTTGGAGTATCCACCAAACTTATGGGATCTACATAATGATTATCCTCTTGCACCTGAGACCATGAAGGTTAATGGAGTTGAAAAACTAATATGTCATTTTAAACCAAGAAAAAATTATGTTATTCATTATAGAGCTCTTAGACAATGTCTTGAGTTGGGTATGAAGATTACCGCTGTTCACAGAGGAATATCATTTTATCAGTCTCCTTGGATGGAACCATATATAAGAAAAAATACAGAACTTCGAAAATGTGCTTCAAACAATTTTGAGAAAGACTTTTTTAAACTAATGAACAATTCAGTTTTTGGTAAAACAATAGAAAATATTAGGAAGCGACAAAATATAGTACTTGTTGATGATCGTAAAAAAGCTCTAAAAATATCATGTCGTCCAAACTTTGATAGATGTACAATATTTGATCGCAATCTTATTGCTATTCATATGAAAAAGACAGAAGTATATTTTAATAAACCAGTATATGTTGGTCAAGCAATTTTAGACTTATCAAAAACTCTAATGTTTGATTTTCATTATGAATACATCAAAAGTGAATATGGAAACGAAGCTGAGTTATTGTTTACAGATACAGATAGTCTAATGTATGAGATTAAAACTGAAGATTTTTACAAAGATATACGTCTTGATGTAAAAGATAGATTTGATACTTCTGATTATCCATCAGATCATCCTTCTGGAATAATTACAGGAGTTAATAAAAAAGTGATTGGTATGTTTAAGGATGAAGTATCAGGAAAACAGATAACTCATTTTGTTGGATTACGTCCTAAACTATACAGCTATAAAGTTGAGGGTGAAAAAGAATTAAAGAAGTGTAAAGGAATAAAAAAAAATGTGGTAAAAAAGTCATTAAGCTTTGATGACTATGTTGGATGTTTATTTTCTGGTGAAAAAGAAATGAGAAAGATGAAAATAATAAGAAGTGATAAGCATGATCTGTATTCAAAAGAGGTTAACAAAGTAGCTCTAAGTAATCAAGATGATAAGAGATATGTGTTAAATGATCAAATACATACTCTAGCTATTAGAGAAAAATATGATGTTTAAGATATAATAAGTAGAAATAATAAATGTCATATACAGAAGAAGAAATAAAAAAATATCTCAATATTTTACATAATTATAAAGTAGAAAAAAGTGAGGGGATTAAAAAGTCAACAGTAGCTTCATGTTTAGGCTGTAAAAATACAGAATCTTTTTTCATTGATTTTGGTCAAAAAATATGTTATAAATGTGGAATAGTAAACGGACATGTATTAGGATTTTACGATATGAAAGATTATGATAGGGTACATTATAGAAAAAAGAGTATTTATCACAGGAAGTATTACTATGATAAAAAGGTTAAACAGATTTCTAAACTAATAGATCTTCCTGATGAACAAAAATGTGAACTTTACAACAGACTATTAAAAATAGATAATTACATTATGGAAAATATTAACAAGCAATATTTTAGAAAGAGAATGATAAATATCACTTATGTAATAAAACAAATTTTGGATGAAATGGGGTGTGAAAATTATAAGTTTTTAGAGCTTAAAATAAGCCCTAAAACTTTAGAGATTTATGATAGATGGTGGGAAACTTATAAAGAACTGATAAACTAATTTTATATTATGTGTTTAATATAAAATTTTATTCTTTTAAATAATCATCATAAAACTCATATACACAATAAATATATATAAAAGCTTTTTTTTCATCATATAAATCTTCATCTATTTCAAAATCTAGTTTTATCCTGTCTAAAACATCAAATATTAGTTTAATATCAAGACTTTCATCTTTAATTTTAGCTACTAATTCTTTTAGATAATTGTTATATTTACTTTCATCTTCTAGTTCTTTAATATAATTGTCATATTTATCTTTTTCAAATTTAAACACATCAATTTCATAAATCATTCTTAAGTAAAAATTAACAAGATATTTTTCTAGTTTATTTTTTTCTACTTTCATTTCTTCAAAAGTTAGTATATGTTCGTCGTTTAAAAATTCATAAACTTCTTTCATTATTTTTCTTCCATATTTTTCAATATCGGATTTTTTAATAACCAAATCTGCCATTTTATTTAATTATTATATTATTCCTTTATGAAAAATCCAGTAACATATTCCAGTTAGATAACCAAGAACTTCACTACGAATTGGACAATCAAACACATATACACATCCTCGTCCAAGTTTATAACGATCGTAAAAAGATTTAAAAGCTTTATAAAATATTAGATGATTATTAAGTACTCTACTACTAGATTTAATAGGTATATTATTTAAAATATATATTATATTTTCAAGTGGAATATTTTTTTTAAAAGTATTTTCGTATAAGTATCTATATATCAATGCTGTCTTTATAGTATTTTCTGAAAAATCTAAATTTTTTTTTTATATGAATAGTAGTAAAAATTAACGTAATTGACAATAGTTTTTATCATTTTATTATATATAATTATTTTATTTCTGCTTCTGATTTTGGTTTTATTTTTTTAGGAGTTCTTAAATTTAAAATGGTGAAATCAGAGCTATATTGTATACTATTTTTAGTTTTACCCAATAACTCATTCAATTTCTCATCATCACAGGCATATTCAAATTTTTCTTTTTTTAAAAATACAAACAATAGATGTTTTTTTAAGTATTTTAAAGATGATAAAATAAAATCTGATGACTTTTCATTTAAACTTAAATTATATCTGTATTCATAAATAAAAGAAAGCAATGCATATGTTTTTAATAACATTTTTTTATTAACATCAGACATACTATAAAGTAAATGTGGATCGTGAAAAAAATAATAACCACCTTTGGTATCATAATAATTTGTATCAGGTTTATTTATGTCGTGGTAACTAAATGAAATATTTATAGTTTCTCGTTGGGGACAAAAGTCTCTTTTACCCCCTAACATATTAAAGTTGTAATGTAATACATGTGAAAAACCATCATCAATAGATGGATCTTCTTCTAATTTTACATCAACTTTAAGATATAAATTATTAACATCATTCATCATGTCTCTTATTATTCTAATAAGATTTTCATTATTAAAATTTTTTATGTCGTAAGATTGTGTATTCATTTATCTATTTTTTAGATAAAAAAGATGGGTGTAAATATACATTCAAGTTTTTAGCTTAGTATTATACAAGTTTAAATATTAAATTTATTATTATATTTAATCTCAAATCTATCTGGTTCAGGAGATTGATCAATTATCATATCATCTATTAGTTTCATTCTATCTACGAATTTTTGTTTATCCCATTCATCTCCTCTAAGTACAGCTCGAAGTTCAACAAGAACTTTTTCATAAGTAGTGTATGCAATTTTTGTCATCTCAATTTTCCTCTTATAATTTTGTTTTTTTCCAACTCCAGTCATAATAACACCAGCACCATTTACAACTCCGAGAATAACAGGATTAAGTGTAATTCCCCCAGTAATAGTTCCTATTGCTACCAAACATATACTAGATATTGTAAAAAAATTATCAAGAAATTTATAACTTTTATAAGACTTTTTAAAACACCAATATTTTTTATGGTAGTAACTGTAAAAATCTTTTATTGTTTTAATATCTGATTTTGATAGAGATGGGTCTATGTGATTAAAATCAAAAATATTTTTCATTTTTATTATTTTATATATATAATCTTAGTTTAGTCTATAATACATAATTTCCGTTTATCTTTTCTTGTAGTAATATATGATGATGTACTGAAGAGTCAATGTCGTAAAAGTTTGGAGAGTACATAAATTTTTCTATCACTGATTCTTTACATAAAAATTCAAATTCAAGGTTAGCTGAAGTTCTTACAATATTAGCGTCTAAGTCTGCGGAATAGTTACTTATATTAACTTTTGTAATATTATCATTAATACTTTCTGTTAACCATAAAACTATTTTTTTTCCACTAAAACTACCTGGTATTGCTAAATTTTTATTTACATTACCAATACTTATGTTTAGATAATTAGTTATAGATAAATAGTATAAAAATAAAAGTTGTTGTTTTGAATTTGCATTAGACACATCATATTTCTTTATACTAAAATTATTTCTTTTAAAATGAGAAAAAACAATACATAAAGTGTAACTTGTATTTTTAATTGGTGGTTTAAAAGATATCTTATAATTATTTATTCTTAATCCAGTTTCTTTTATGTTATCCATTGTTTTACTTGGAAATGTAATATTTTGTGCAGAATTTCCTGTAATAGAGGACAAAGCATTAAACACAACACCAATTGAACTTTTATTTAGAACATAATTGTTTGAATCGCTAAAGTCAAAAAAATGTTCAAAATATTTTCTATAAACATAATTTTTTATAAAAGGTAAATTTTTATTTACAATTCCAACTGTTGCTGTATTAATTTCATTTACCATTCCAACTGTTGCTGCACTATTATTATTATTTTTATCAAGATCAATGTTTAATATTTTTTTATTATTTGCATTTATGTCAACATTGTATGTAACTTCTGTTGGTTTGATATCAAATGCTGTGTGATAGTCATAAACTTTATCTGGGTCGATATTGCTTACTTTACCCACAATACCATAAGTAACAAAATAAACTCCTGAAAACTGTCTTGGATAAACAGACAGGTCACTTCCTTCTTGTGGTATATTAACAAGAAAATGAAGAAAGAACCTATTACCAGTTGACAACTTTTTAAAATTAACTATTATTCTATGGTAATACATATATTGTGTTTGATTTGTTGCATCTGTATATCTATGACTAAGTTTTTTTACACTTACATTTTCAATTGATAATCCTGTTGAAGTTCCTTTGTCTACACTTATTTGAGATTTATGCCAAAGTTGATAGTCAGTGTTTAGTATTTCCAAACATAGTGTGTAATCAACATTAGCGGTTAATCTGTAAAAGTTAACTGACATTTTGTACTTATATCCACCTTGAGAATTTTTGTTTATTTTTACATAAATTACTTTGTGGTTATAGTTATGAAAATTACCTTTTGAAGGAGGTAAGTCTGCTATTTTTGATATAACAAAACTAGTTCCAGTATCTATTTCATCAGTCCATTGTGCTGCATTAGACATAAGAAAAGTAAATTGATCGTTGTAATGACTTGGTTGAACTGCAGTGTGATGAATTAGTTTGTCAGCGTAATCTTTATTTACAGCATCATTGTCTTGGGTTGGATTACTTAATCTAATAATTTTTTTATTGTTCATATTTAAGTTTCCTCTCATATAATCCGTTCCATCTTTTTTTAAGTAACCTGTTGTAAATCCTTTATCATCCACATACTTTTTGGTTGCAGCATCTGTATCATTAAAAGGTGGTCTTAGACCAATTATAGGTTTATTATTCATGTTAAGTGAGTTTAACATTTTATTTGTTCCACCAACATGTAGATACTTTATATCTGTAAAGGCTAATGGTGTTGGTTGTTTAGGACCCATTGGAATTGGTAGGTTTAAAATTCTATGATTATCCATGTTAAGATTACCTTTCATTGGATAAGATCCATCTCTATCAAGAAATGTATTGTCTACATATTCTTTTGTA